ATCCTTAGAGGATGATGAAGAATTAGACTTGCCTTTGAATTAACTTTTTCATGATTTTGAAATTGTTAATAAATTAAATTTTAGTCCATACTCAATTCATAAATACTTGCATATGTGTTTTCAGCATGGTGGTTTATCTACGTTTTTCTAACCCCATATGCATGTAAACACAAGTATGTGACCTTTCAACACTCCTTGTGTCTCCTCTAAATCCTCCCTAAATTTGGTCAGGAAGCTAAATTCTAGTTAGGAAGTTTTTTCTGTCCTTCCAGCTTTTGCTTCTCTTTTTCCTTATTTAGTAGACACAGGTAATGGGATAAGCAGGGAGCTGCTCTTGGTCACTTTGAAAATCTGTAGTTCCATGGTCTAGGTGCTGGGCATTTATGTTTCTTATCCAGAGAGTGTCCCTGGCCCCGTAAGTGTTGGAAGGGTTCAGCAGGTAGTCTTACCTCTAAGACAGTGATTCTCAAACTTTGATAAGCATGAGAATCAAGCTGAGGATCTGTTTAAAATGGAGATATCCTCCCTGTGGTCCTTCGACCTGAATCCAGAATCTGTATCTATGAAAACTGTTGCTATGGATTTTTAAAACTGATAGAGTGAATATTGAGACCAACCCCTGAAACTTAGCAATAGAAGTTATCTTGCCGTCATCAGATAAGGCAGCCAGGTATCAACTACCAGCTAAAGGGTGGAGCGGAAAAAGTGAGGAAGTTTGGAGTTTGAAGAGCGATCTGTTGTCTTTTGTTTGTCTAGGTTTATGTCATTTGGCTTACAGTTGGCATCTTCTCCTTTAGTGAATTGAAAGGAAAATCCAAAAAAGTTAAAACAAACCAAAAAAAATGACGAGTCAGGTTTAGGTAATAAGCAAAAGCACAGAGGAAAGTGTTTTCTAAGCTCTTTTGCCTTCCTCATTCATTATATTGCTTCATAGAATAAGCTAAATGATGTTATTTAAGGAGAAAACCCCTCCACCAAAATATCTTCCTCATAGTACAGATCTGTAATCAACTCTCTGCTATTCTGAAATCCAGAAGGGTCTGAAATGCTTTTTGATAAGTTTGTGAAGAATTCATTTGCTGGCAAAACTTGACCTAAATGAGCACGTTGCTATTTATCATCTTTATTTTACCCATGAGTGTAAATATTTGAGTCTTCCCACAGAATTACTATCTTTTATTACTTAGTGATTTGTCAGAATCTGTCAGCATAGTTGTATAATATGATATGATATATATATATATATATATGCCATATTAATAAAATCTAAAAAAAAAAATTCTGAATTCTAAAACATTTGGCTCCAAGGGTTTTAAATAAGGGATTATGGATCTGTACTAGAAATTCTACCAGTTGAGATACCTTGAAGTTAACAAATTAATATAGAGAGTGTGTACATAGCTGTATATTAATTTGTATTTGATTTGTACACGTTTTAAAATTTGATTTTTATGTTGGATTTACACTGACTTTTGATCTACTGATTTTTTTTTCACTTTTTAATTTTTTCTTACAGTTGTATTAAGATACGATTGACATACAGCAGTACATAAGGTTAAGGCATACAGCATAATAATTTGATTTATATACATCATGAAATGATAAGTTTAGTGAACATTCATCTCATATAGATGCAAAATTAAATAAATTAAAAAAAATTTTTCCTTGTGATGAGAAGGCTTAGGATTTACTCTCTTAACCACTTTTATATGTAACATACAGCAATGTTTATTATATTTGTCATGTTGCACGTTGTATTCCTAGTACTTACTTACCTTATAACTGGAACTTTATACCTTTTGACTGTTTTCATCTAATTCACCCTCTGCCTCT